TTTGTCCAGGATTTTTTTTCTTTTTTAATGTTTATTTATTTTTGAGAGAGAAAGAGTGAGTGAGTGCCAGTGGGGGAAGGGCAGAGAGAGAGAGAGAGAGAGGGAGAGAGAGGGAGGGAGACACAGAATCCGAAGCAGGCTCCAGGCTCTGCGCTGTCAGCACAGAGCCTCATGCGGGGCTCGAACCCAGTCTGATCTAGATGTATGGGGAGCATCAGCAAACCTTGTATGCCTCACCTAAGATGTGGGGCTTTACCTCGTGATGTGACCTTCTCCGGGGCGCTCGGCTTTCCCCTTAATTCTAGCTAACTCTGCCTTTTGTGGGATTTGTGCCCTCAGTGGGAAGCCTTCTACCCACCTGCCTCCCATCCTTTGTGACCCCATCCTTCTCCCATGGTGGAATCTTTTTTCCCATCTAGCAAGGCAATAGATAGCGGGCCTGAGTATAAGAAATGCCGTGATAGCTGTTCCGTATACACTGGTTTATATAACCTTCATCTCAACATCACTGTTATTAACCCCCTTTTACAGAAGAGAAAACTGAGGTGTAGTTTTGGGGTAAGTTGCCTCCAGTTGTGGGTGGTAACCTAAAAAATGGTGTCCCAAAGAAGCCAGATCCCTGGGACCTGTAAATCTACCTTACATGGATACAAGGCCTTTACAGATATATTAAGTTAAGATCTTGAGATGGGGAGATTATCCTGGATTATCAGGGTGGCCCTAAATGCAATTACATGTATAGGAGAGGGAAGCAGAGGGAGATCTCTCTCTCTCCCTCCCTCCCTCCCTTTCCCATCCCCACCCCCCACAGAAAAGAAGGTGATGTGACCACAGAGCTGACACATTTCAAGATGCTGGCATTAAAAACCAGAGTGATGCAGCCACAAACCAAGGAGGAACAGCCGACACCAGAAGCTGGAAGAGTCAGGGAACAGTGTCTCCCCTGGAGCCCCCAGAAGGAGTACAGCCCTGTCAACACCTTACTTTGCCCCAGTGATACTGATTTTGGACTCCGGGCCCCTAGAACTGAGAGAATAAATTTCTGTTTGTTTTAAGCCACCAAGTCTGTGGTAATTTGCCACAAGAGCTTTAGGAGACCAGTCTACCATGTAGAACCAGCCACGTGCCCCCGTCTGTCTGGCTCAGGTAGGCAGCCCGGGATTGGAGGGAGCCTCCCTGCCAATGTCAGGTGAGCCCAGCACTGCTTACAGTAAGCACTCAGGAGAAGCACCCCCCTTCCCCCCAGGGAGACATGGGGGTGAGCAGGTAGAACAGCCAGGAAGGGCCTTGGCAGAATAAGCAACCACAGCAGGGCTGACACTTCCCTCCCTACCACGAGACACGGGGCAGCGAGGCCTGGGGAAACCCCTTCTAGCCCCCGAAGACCCAGTGATACCAGATAAACCACAATGAGCAAAATAATACAGCGAAGGCTCTGAACACTAAGCTGTCGTTGGAACCACAGCTCACCAAAATAGTCCAGGACCTGCACGGTAAACCTGAACAGGGTGCCTGCCTGCTAAAATAAAGGGTTTGAAGAGGACCCAGGGTTCCCAAACATAATAGACAAGATGACAAGGATATGCCTAAAATCACCCACCCTAATAAGAACCCAGAAAACCGCAAATTGAGTGAGAAAAACAAATCGATTGACTCTAGTACTGAGATGAATCCGATGTTGGAATTATCCGAGAAGGTCTGAAAGCAGCCATCATTTAAAACAATATTTTTTAATGTTTATTAACTTTTGAGAAAGAGAGGGAGAGAGACAGAGCACAAGCAGGGGAGGGGCAGAAAGAGAGGGAGACACAGACTCCAAAGCAGGCTCCAGGCTCTGAGCTGTTAGCCTAGAGCCCGACACGGGGCTCCAACTCATAAGCCCTGAGATCGTGACCTGAGCTGAAGTTGGACGTTCAACCACCTAAGCCACCCAGGCGCTCCTGAAAGCAGCCATCCTAAAAATGCTTCAACAATCAATTAGAAATTGCCTTGAAATGAAGGGAAAAAATAGATAATCTCAGCAATGAAATAGACATTATAAAAAAGCAGTAAAAAGAGCTGTTAGTAAGAACTATGTTAAATTTAATATAGATACAGATGGTTACGTGCAGAAATATTTATGGCTATGTGTATATTACAGATGAGTATACACACATATATTTCTTTGCTCTGTTGGCTGCCAGGGCCTAAAAGAAAGACACGCAAAGAGCAAGAACACACTTAGCACCCAGACCTTGGTTTCTAATACCATAGTCCAGTGAAAGGAACCTGGGCTCCTTGAAGAAATACCCGATTCTAGGACTGGGGTAGGAAATATACCACATGAGCCTGGAGCATCTTGTAGTGATAGGAAGTAAGAAAGTGCTCAAAACCAACCAACCAACCAACCAACCAACCAACCAACCAATCGACCGACGATCCCACAAAGGAGGCTGGGAAAGTCAGGTGGGTGAGAGCAGGGCCTCTGGAAGCCCTGAGGTGGAGGCTATATGGAGGCTGCCGGGAGGACAAGGGGCCAAAGCAGTGGCCAGTGGACGTTGGCGGTGGGGAGGTGTCGGTGACCTTGACAGAGCAGACGGGCAGGAGAGAAAAACAATTGTCACACCTGGGCTGCTCCATCCACACCAGGGCAAAGTGACTTTGGCCAGGCTGGCCTCCGCTCTGCCACCCTTCTAGGGTTCGGCCAAGTTCAGGGTAGGACTGAGCCTCACTTGAGAGTTCTGGGTGCATCTCTTCTTTGTCTGGGTGTCCCCTACAGTCTCCTACAGTCCCCCGGGGCATGAGGCCACTCCCACCCTCTTAAACCTATTAGCTGCCATACCAGCTCCCTTACGGGGCTGTTCCTTCAGTCCCAGAACCAGCACCAGGCAGGAGAGGCAGCTGAAGGTGCCCAGCCATCGCGTGCACTCTCTCCGAGGGGGGACAAGAAGGGAGAAGCACACTTAGGCCCGTGTGCTCTGTCCCGCCTCCGTACCTCTGTGCAGAGAGGCCTGTGTGGAGACCCTTCCCTCCCCAGCCCCCATCTCTCCAAATCCCACCCCCCTTGAGCCCTGGCTCAACACACACTTTCTCTTTCATGCGTTCTCTGTCCCCGTTGATCTCTCTGCCTGCTCTGGGAAACCTTGGTGTCTTGCTGTCATCCATATGTGTCTTCCTGACCCATCTACCACCTCCTTGAGGGCGGAAATAATGACTACTTCTATCTCCCTGTGGCGCCTAAGGATGACAATCGCAACCCTAATGACAACTGTTAATAATTACTGAACAGTTGCTTTTTTATTAGCTCATGGCATTTTTTAAAACTTTTTTCAAAAAGTCTATTTATTTTGAGGGGCGCCTGGGTGGCTCAGTCGGTTGAGCCTCCGACTTCGGCTCAGATGATGATCTCGCGGTTCGTGAGTTCGAGCCCTGCATCGGGCTCTGGGCTGACGACTCGGAGCCTGGAGCCTGCTTCGGATTCTGTGTCTCCCTCTCTCTCTGCCCCTCCCCTGCTCGCAGTCTGTCTCTCTCTCTCTCAAAAATAAATAAACATTAAAAGAATTATATTAAAAAAAAAGTCTATTTATTTTGAGAGAGAGCACTCGCGCACACATGCCCTGGGGAGGTGCAGAGAGCGGGAGAGAGAATCCTAAGCAGGCTCCGCACTGTCGGTGTGGAGCTCGATGCAGGGCTTGAACTCACAAACCGTGAAATCATGACCTGTACTGAACTCCAAGAGTCGGTCACTTAACCGACTGAGCCACGCAAGTGCCCCTCAGATTTCATTTTTAAAAATTTAATCTCTACACCCAACATGGGGCTCAAACTCACGACACTGGGATGAGGAATCGGACGTGCTACCCACTGGGCCAGCCAGGCACCACTGCCTCATTTTGTTTTTGCAACAGCCCTCGTGGTGGGGGCTCTGTGATTAGCCCAGTTTTACAGACAGGAGATCGGAGGCTCAGAAAAGTTAGGGACTAAGCCACACGGCTCATAAATGGAGCCGGGATATAGGCCTGCTGTTAGGAGTCAGAGTGGAATAATCTCTGTTTCCCCGAGGGCTTCAGTTCCGTGAGGGTGGAACCTGCGTCTGTCTTTTCCTCACTGGAGCCCCAGTACTCAGAACAGTACCTGGCGCACTGGAGGGCCTTGCTACGTAAGTGAAGGGATGAATGACTATGGCCGGTGGTAAACATGGTTATGAAGCAAAACAAAGCTGGTTGAAGGGGGTGGGGGTCAGGGGAGGCCTTCCAGGAGGTGGCATTTGATCAGAGACCTACATACAGTGCGCGCGTGTGTGTGTGCGCGTGTGGCGGTGGGGTGGGCTGTGTAAAGATCTGGAAGCGTGTTCCAGGCAGAGGGAAAAGCATGTGCAAAAGCTGGGAGGTGGGAGCATGCCAGCGATGCCTGAGGAACAGCAAGGAGCCCGGTGTGGGGAGGGCGGGGGGGATAAGGGGGCAGGACAACTCATCTTACCGTCTGTGCCTCAGTTTCTTCACCTGTAAAACGGAGAACAAATGATACACACTTCACAAGGCTGTTTTGAGCGCCACAGTTATAATTCCGTTGTGGAAAGTTTTCGTCTGAAGGGCTCGGAATTGTTTGGCAGGAAGGAAGCGCTCACTGATGGCTCGCAACTGTCATCACAGTGAAGAAGTCAGGAAGGATCCGCATTAAATGACGTCATTATCTTGGGCGGTGACGGTGGATCATGGAGGACAGTAAGTCTTGTGGGTTCAGATGTTTCAGATGATCGGGGATAATCAGGAAAAATTACTGTTAATATCTTTCCTTTTTAAATTTTTTTTAACGTTTATTTATTTTTGAGAGGAGAGAGACAGAGCACGAGCGGGGGAGGAGAGAGAAAGAGGGAGACACAGAATCTAAAACAGGCTCCAGGCTCCGAGCTGTCAGCCCAGAGCCCGACGCGGGGCTCGAACTCACGGACCGCGAGATCATGACCTGAGCCGAAGTCGGCCGCTTAACTGACAGAGCCAGCCGGGCGCCCCCACAGTTTGTGATTTCGAGTCACACAAGCCCCACGCTTCGGGTAAAACGCGAGCTCTGGGTGAGCCCTGCTTCTCTCTCTCAACCTCCCCGCCCCTTGTCACTTGCCCCCCGACCCCCAAAAAAGTGCATGGTACAAAATTCTAAAGCAAAAAGCAAAGAAAAGGCAATATAGATAAGTCCCCCTCCCACACCATCCCTCAGTCACCCAGGTGTCCTATCTCCCCATACCCACAATTGCTGTCTGGTGTGTTTTTCCGGAATTGGGGGGGGGTGTCTATGTAGATATAATCAAATACATGTTTCTAACCATTTTATTTTACATGGGTGGAAGTGAAGGAAACCAGAATATGTCAGCCCAAAATATGCCTCTTTGACTTAAAAAGTATTTTGAGCTGAAGGCAGTTAAGAAGCAGCAAGCCCAGGAAAAAAAGCTCCCTCTTTTCTGCCTAAAGGCAGGGTATAAATTCTTCTTTTATTGGAGACAGACATAAATCTAGAGATGACACTAGAGGAATTTGCAAACCTTCCTCCATTCCCTCTCATATATTTACCGTTCCACAGCCTTCTGACCTCAGAAGCCTTAAGCCATTTCCCTTTGCCTTGTCATTTCTTGGCAAATTTATTGTTCCTTGTTGAAGATGCTATCTAAGCTGGAATTCTAAGCTGCCATTTTGGGTTACTTTTCATTAGGTTTCCCCGTGTAATGTGTGCTGCATGACTTAATAAAAGTTTTTTCTCTTGTTAGTCTAAGTTTTGTTCAAGTCCCGGCTGAAAACTAAGATGGGTAGAGGTAAAGTTTTGCCTCCCCTACAGAAGCCAACTGCACATTCCGAGGGAGGGAGGGGAAATGGTCCAGCACAGACATTGGATCCAGTCCCAAGTTCAAATCCTGCTTCCTCCACCTGCTGGCTGAGTGACTTTGCACAAGTAACCTATGTTGCATGTTTCTCTTTTCCTTTTCTCGAATGGGGTTGGTGTAAGGATCACGAGTTAATACCCATCAAATGCTGAGAACAGTGTCTGCCCCGTGGTAAACGCTATTCCTCGAAATGACTTACCAGGTACCTTAGAGAACATCCTTTTCCATGTCCGGAGAACTCAGTGGTTACAAATGGCTGTACTGTGTCCGCTATGTGAATGTATCCATAATCGACGTAACCATCCGGGTTGATGGGCATTTAAATTCATTTGGAAAGGTCTTACAAAGACCGATTCAAGGCCGTTCACTCATTCACGTGTGCACCACACTCTCTTGAGCTAACTGGCCTTTCTGTCTTCTGTTCCTCCTCCTAGAACGTTCTTCACCTACTCTCTGACCACCTGGTTGATTTCCTGTGCAACAACCAGTTCTCAGCCCCAAAGTCTCCTCCTTGGAGAAGGCTCTCTGGGTCTCTCCCCCCCCCCCCCCACCATCCTTGCTGTCCTTCTCTGCAGACTGTACATGGGATGGGACCCTGGAGGAACCTGGTGGCCGACCGTGAACCCTTGGCCCCGGCACCAAGCAGGTGCTTACCAACCCTTGCTGGCCAATGGATACGGTGGTCTACACATCTCTCACTTGTTTAAATGTTTTAAATCTTCAAGAGATCTGGATTTTAGAAAACGCATTTTCTTGTGCTCAAGATCCCAGCTGCCCCTGGTGAAAACAGAGGGCTGTTAGCAAGCTCACTGGTCTCAGTTCATAGTCTCTACTTCCTGCCCCTGACCAAGTAACACTGGGTGCTCAAGTGTGAGCCTCTATGGACTGTTTCACTTAATTCTCACAGTAACCATCTGAACAAGTTATAATGACTCTCTTCCTTTAGAAACGAGGGCATTAAGGGCGCCTGGGTGGCTCAGTGGGTTAAGCGGCCGACTTCAGCTCAGGTCACGAACTCGCGGTCCGTGAGTTCGAGCCTCGCGTCGGGCTCTGTGCTGACAGCTCAGAGCTGGAGCCTGTTTCCGATTCTGTGTCTCCCTCTCTCTCTGTTCCTCCCCTGCTCGCACTCTGTCTCTCTCTCAAAAATAAATAAAGATTAAAAAAAAGAAATGAGGGCATTAAGGGTCAGAGAGGGGAGAAGCTGGTCCAAGGACACACAGCCAGGAAAGGGTGGGGTGAAATTCAAATCAGGTCTAGCTCAGGGCCGTGGGAAAACTGTCTCTTGCTTACTTCTACCTGAGCCCTTGGGGCTTCAAGAACTTGGTTTAGATAATTGTTGGGCCTTTGTGATAACTCTTGTCCCCAGGGGCTCCCCCCCTCCCCCCTCCACTTCAGATCTCTTGTCATCTGGCTGGTGAGCTGAGAGTGCTCAGACTTCAAAGTCTCTCTCGAATTCTGGCCACCACTTGGGATTTGGGGACCTGTCTGGCCTGTCTGGAGGGAAAGCTGTCTCATCTTGGGATCGAGGGATCAGTGATAGCTCACCTGGTAAGAGCCTTCTGGGGCTCAGCCGATTGGGACCTCGACTTTCAGGTTCTTGGCTGAAAAGGACATACCCTGGGCCCAGAGAGAGAGGGTACAAGGGTCACCGGAGCTGACCCACCACCTTGTCAGTCTGAAATCTGACAAACCCTATCACTGGTGGGGAGTTTGGATGTCCCCATCTGCCCTGGAGGTGCAAGCATGTTGGTCAAAACCAATGGTACTGGCTGATCTGGGGACACAGGAACTCAGAGGTTAGGGAGACTGGTCCTGACAATTCAGGTCACTGGCCTGAGAGCATTAGGTATGTTGATTCCTTGAACTCTGCGGAGAACACACTTTACAAATGAGAAAACCGTGGAGCAGAGAGAGGCCAGTCGAGGAGGAAGGGCTTGGACCCTCGCCGCTGTGGTCCGTTCTTGGTTTCATCAGTTTGTTCCCATCTCACAAGTCTGACGGGGGCGGGGGGGGGGGCGGTGGGGGTGGGACTTACTCTCACTCCTCAGTAGGGGACCAGATGCTGTCCCTGGTACTGGCTCCCTCTCAGAGTCAGCCCCATCTGCCTGCCCAACACCACACATCCTCCGGGGTTGTCTCTTAAGGAAGGAAAGCCTTTGTTCTTCTTTGTCAAAGAACCAACCCTTGATCACCTTTCACAACCCAGCTCAAGGGTGCCCTCTTCTTTTTTTTTAATTTTTTTTTTTTTTTGTTAACGTTTATTTATTTTTGAGACAGAGAGAGACAAAGCATGACAGGGGAGGGTCAGGGAGAGGGAGACACAGAATCTGAAACAGGCTCCAGGCTCTGAGCTGTCAGCACAGAGCCCGACGCGGGGCTCGAACCCACGGACCGTGAGATCGCGACCTGAGCCGAAGTCGGCCGCTTAACCGACTGGGCCACCCAGGCGCCCCAAGGGTGCCCTCTTCTAAGAAGCCCTCCCTGATTTCCCCTCTGCCCTAGTCATTCCCCCCTGCCTCTGTCCTTGGGCCTGCCTTCTCCACAGTAGTTTGGTGGTCAGACAGTTGGGGATTCAAATCTTGGTTCTGCCTTTTCATCAGTGTGGGCGGTGGGACTTGAGGTTAGTTCCTTTACCATGCTGAGACTCTCATAAAATGAGCTAACCATAGTACCTTTGGGTCGTTGTCAGACTACATGAGGTAAGGTACATACAGGGCCTGGCACAAAGATATTGCTCAAATAATGGATGCAGCTATTATCATCACTCGTAACTAAAGACCTGGTCTTGACATTGAAGGCCTGAGGTGCTCAATATAGAGGGTAACTGGCCCTTGCTAAACTCCCTAGTCCAGCTCAGGCAGGGCAGAGAAAGTGCTAGAGGGCATTCCCTTCACACCCTGCCACCGCCCCCACCCCCACCTACAAACGCGGCTGTCTTCAGCTCCACCTTTTTAAGTGATTTTGCTGGAAGCAACAGGTGCCCTTTGCAACGATGCCCCCCTGTGGCTGAACGAGCACCTGCTTTGGGGGGAAGGGAGGGACCGCAGTTACTGGAGCACCTACTCCATGGGGCCTTGCCGAGCAGCACGGTTGGTAGTCATCCTGTCATCCTTTAGACCGGGAGGTCTTATCTTTGTTTCGCAGGTTCATCCAACCAGTTATTTGTGGGGGACCTGCTATGCATCAGGCACCATGGCAGGTGCTCAGGGGACAAGAGTGAACAGACACATAGAACATACAATGCACCAGAGGCAGGATAAGAAGAAAAATAAGGCAGGACAAGGGGATCGCGAGGGGCCAGCCCTGCAGAACTCTTCAGGCCTCAATGAGCAGTTTCCAGAGATTGGGGCGGCGGGGGGGGGGGGGGGGGGGAGCACCTGAGAGCTTTAAAGGAAAGAAGTGACAGGTGTGGCGCCTGTATGTGAGCAGACTGCCGGGCAACGGCAGCAGCAGGGCATCAGTGGGGTAAGGGCAGTTGTCACCGGCAGAGATGACAGCGCCTGGGCTGGGGCACTGCAAGGGGAGGACAAGCGGCCTGATCTGGGACGCGTGTGTAGCTGAGCCCAGAGGACTTGCTGATGAACGGGACGTGGGGTGAGGCTCAGGGCCGCGGAGAGAGAAGTCACAGACGCACGAGCTGCTCAGCCGGTGACCGGGTGGGACACTCGAAGTCCACAGCGTAAGGTTTCTGCTCTGCTTCCCTGTCCTGGCCTGAGAAGACTGGACCCGGAAAGGGGGGGGCGGGGCACAGCTACCACCCGTGAACAGGAGCAGAACCCACTTAAAGAAGGAAGACCTTGTCTTTGGCCCTGGGAGGCAGTCCTGGAACAGTCCCCTCTGAACATGCTGCTGGCTAGGGCAGAGGGCGGGGAGCAGCGAACCCACCTTTCTGCACCAGCTACTTCCCTCCGTGAGCTCCAGGTCAACCTTAAGGAGTCCCTGGAGGGCACTTT